GGGAACACTGCATGGTTTGGAATTGGGAAGGGAGTGTGTTTTATTTTCTCTCCATACATATCCGATCTGTATGTTGAGCAAATTATCTGAGAATCTAGACTCTGTGTGGAGAAGTGTGGTATCAGTATTGGAGGGAGACTCACCAATAACCTGAGTTATGCAGATGACACAATTCTGCTGGCTGAATATGAGGAGGACTTGAAGCACTTATTGCAGAAGATCAAGGAATACAACATTCAGTATGGACTGCATCTCAGTGTCAGGAAAACAAAGATTCATTCTATTGGACCGATAGGCAGCGTCATGATGGATGGATGAAGAGGAGATTCAAACTGTCAAGGGCTTCATCTTGCTTGGATTAAAAATTAATACCCTTTGTATGAGCAGTCAGGAAGTAAGGAGACACACTGCACTTTGAAATTCTGCAGTAGGGGAGCTTTCTAAATTATTGAGGAGTAGTGATGTCAGTTTGAAGACTAGGGTATGTCTGATTCAGGCCATAGTCTTTCCAATTACTAGCTATGCATCTGAGAGCTAGACAATGAATAAGGATGACAGAAAAAGAACTGACTTAAACTGACTTAATTTGTAGTAATAAAAGGGAAGGTATGTCCTGGAGTTAAGCTTGTTAAGTAGAATGTGGTAGTGGAGGTTGGGGCTTGGTCAAGGAGAAAGATTGAGTCCCACTCAGTACTTCCAGAAGATTTGCATTGGAATGGATTTGTGGACACACCAGTGTATCTTTTGAATAAAGAGATTTGCATCTGAAAGAAGAGGAGGAAAAAGAAAGAGAGGCTAATAGGAAAGAAGAGAAGGAAAAAGGGTTAAAAAAAAAAGGAAAGGAGTTTGTCTTGAAGTAATTAGAACAAGCTGTTTGCCTCTTAAGTCAGAGTAAAGTTGTACCATCAGACCCTGCTTCCAAGATTTGAGGTTGGAGTATTCTCACTCATAGTGATCATTTAGTTCCATAGGAGTGGACATGAGAGGAATACAATGGAGAAATGGTCTGGGCTTGGAGGTGTTCCTTCAGCATTGTCTATCTAACACAGATGAGCAGATGAGCACAGAAAGGTTGTTGGCTTGAGGAGCAGGGAGTTGTGAGGATCCTTGAGCTCTTCACTTGACTTGGCTCCATATGGGGGCTAGGGTTGAGTGAGAAGATAAACAGGTCTGGAATGCAGGGACAAATGTGGACTTCTGACCTTGTAACAGATGCCCACTCAAAGGTAGCCACATATGGTTGGGGATGAGTTGACCAGAACCCCGTCAGAGATCCATGCTAGAACTAGGATTGATTCCTACAACGTGATGTCTTGCTCTGGATTGGACTTTGGCTATGGATGATGATGCTCGAAGTTTTCATGTCTAACAGAGGATGCTTCAGCAAAAGAGATGTGCTTAGTTCCTCAGAGTACTGGTTTGATAGGGATAGACAAATCAGAAATTGGCTATCTAAAAGGGGAATGTTAGAACATGATATATAAAGTAGCTGGCTTACACACTTTCACAAAAGTAGTTGTTGGTGGATGATTATAAAAGAGAAAAAAAAAACCACCCACAATATTAATGAATGAAAATTAATTCAAATGAAGAACTATATGGAACACAATGTATGTGCATGAGATATGAGATGTCATGTATATGAATAAAAATATTAATAAAAATACAAGTTAAAAACTCATTCATCATTGAGATGAAACAAACACATAGCTGACAGTCTGGTTGATTTCTGTGAATCACACATGAGAAAATTGCCCATCTTTCTCTCAAGGAATCGCTGGTGGGTTCCAACCGCCAGAGAGGGAAGGCCTTCAAGTGAACAGCGTCAGTACATGTAGCCTGTGCTTACCACCAGAGCTCTCTGTCTTGAGCTGTCCACCTGATGCTTTAAGCCAGCAGGCCTCCATAATATTCTATTAACTCTTGTTATTACTCAATAGTTTTAAAAATAGGGTGTTTGCTAACATCTGTGTCTTTAATTTTCCCTCCATTGCTAATTACAATCTTGGAAAACCAATGGAGGGTCAGCTATTTACTGATTCTGACTTAACAGTAATTAAGTGTTGAGGGTTTTTCCCTTAGGTTTACATTTAGATCTTGATGATGAAATGATAATAATAAATCAGTCTCCAATACCTAGCTAAGAATAAATCCTTTGTTTGTTGTTGTCGTTATTAGGTGCTATTGAGTTGATTAGGACTCAGTGGCTCTGTGAATAATAGTTTTGAGTCTTACTCTCTCCTGCACCTTTCTTAACTCTCTCCTGCACCTTTCTTATGATCCCTGTCATGCTTAATCTTTGCTTGTTGTGTTGTTGTTGTAAGTCATTAAGTCGGATCCTGCTCACAGCTGGCCTTCCAGTGTGTTTTCAAAGGCAGTGAATCACACAGGAGGAGATGGTCCATCCTTCTCCAGCTGAACAACTAGTGGATTTGAACAAAGTGCCTTTGAGATTGCAGCGCAATTTCTTACCACTAGACCACCAGAGCTCCATCACTCTTTGTTTAGATTATATTAACATTTGTTTAAGAAGATTATATAACCATGTTATAAGAAAACTAATGATAGAAGAAGAAAGGCTGCTACTTTTTCTATGACAGGAAGAGTAAACGCTGGGAAAAAAAGTGAATCCATGACAGATACTATATCAGAGTGAAATAAACTAGAAACGAATCTGTAGCTAAGTTACAGAAGTTATTCAGAGAAATAAGAAAGATTAGAAGAAGTAACTTTAAATACTATCTCTTATTAAACTACACCTTAGTACCTTTAAAATTATAGGTCATCTTCTACATGCTATGATTGCAAAGCAAGCTCAGTTCTGGGTTAAAGTGTTTAAATCGTGTTGCTATAAAGGTAATTTGCGTATCATTACTTGACGTATTAAAAACATTTTTGGCACCCCAACATAACTTTTTAAAAACTGTATGTCTGTTGGGAAAAATCTTATTACTGAGTCTATTTTCTATTTTAAAAAGTAGACAAAAACCCTTGCCATAAAGGGAACACAGCACAAGCACCATCTAGTGGTCATATTAGTAAATTGGATGAAGTAAAATTCCTTTCTTATCACTGGTCCTGAAGTTGTAGAAAAACAGAGGGACTCGCCACTGCCACCCAGTGGCCACAAGTGAGAAACCAGTGAGCACATTCACCAAAACCCACAATTTATTAGTTTCTTTTACTTTAGAATTCTAACATTTTAGCATAGTGCCGTCATTCATTTAAGGCCTAGACCTTCTACGGCATCATTTCATAAGAAAACATATTCTAAGTGATTTTAGAAAACATTTAAATTCGTTGGTTTATTTTAATATTTGTATATTCAAAAGCTTCCAATGGCTACCCTGGTACCCTAACGATGTCTTTCTGTGGCAATTTGAGTTCTCCAACGGCTTCACAGAGAGAAAGGCTGGAAATATCCTCCCATTAGATTTACAGACTCCTGACACCCACTGAAGGGTCATCCGTGAATTGGTTAAAGAAACACTGGTGGTACAGAGGTCAAGTGCTAAACTCCTAACTTAAAAATCAGCAGTTTGAATACATGAGGTAGGTGAAGGATAAGGTAGTCTGCTTCTGCCAAGATAACAGTTTTGGAAACTACTGAGTATGTTTTCCTGTCCTATAGGGTTGCTATGAAATGGAATAGACTCGCTAGCAATGAGATTACACATGTTGTTGTTGTGTACCTTGTTTTGCAATCTCCTCCCGTGTGATTAACTGCCTCTGAAAACCTGCAGGAGGTTCAGCTGTGGGTCGGTTCCTACCTTAAGGTACACAATACCCCCCCCCCACCACACACACACCACATGCTAATTCTGTACATGAAGAAACCAAGCGTATGTTAAAGAACTTATTCAAGTTCACCTTTGAACTAAAAAACAATTGGTGCGTAGGATCAGTTTTGCTCAACACTTCCTGTCAACAATATTCCCAAGCATTGTGTGTGGATCTGGAACCATATACATCAACGGAGATGACCAGCATACAGTCATTCTCCCAAAGAACACTGCCCTCTGCCTATTTATTGGTCAGGATCGGTTTACATTTATAATTGTGCTGATTAGTAGAGAAAGTGTTGCAGTCAGATAAAGGGAAAGAGTAGAGTTCTCTTACCACTAAGAGTGGCTTAGTGGTAAGGAGTCTATGGTGGCCTCTGGTAAGAAGCTGTGCTGCAATCCTGAAGGCAGAGAGTTTGAATCCACAGGCTGCTCCACGGAAGAAGAAGGGGCAATCTTTTCCTTTGTGATTAACTGCCTCTGAAAGCCTGTTGGAGGGTCGATTATGGGTTGGTTCCAACTCAATGGCACGCAACAACAAAAATAATAGTGCTGAATGAACTAACACAGTCTCCTAAGGACTAATACTGGATAAGACCATTATTGTAAAAATAGAAGGACAGCTGGTAAAACAGGTACAGGAACTCAAGAGAGAAGAGGTGAGGAGTGAAGGGGTGAGGATAGGTAGGGGTGAAACCATACTGCAGAGTTTGGTGGGTGAAGGGGGGAACAAATGGGAAGGTTCTGGGTGCAAAGATAGGGTAATGTTGGGCAAGTTCCAGTGGTAATTAATTTTATAAAACACAATGCATCAGAATGATTGTATTAAGCACAATATGAATGAAGAATAGTGTGAAACACAAGGTACATAAACCAATAAAAATGTAAAATAGAATGTATATGAATTATTTTATGAAACACAATGTAAATGACAGACTGTATAAAACACAACACAGATGAATGAAACATGTAAAGGAATTCTTAAATGAAAACCAATAAAAATATTTAAAAAGAAAAAAATAACAATGATTAGAAGTGGCGCCGTTAAGCCAAAAATACGAGATTTGATTCCACCAATTGCTCTGAGGGAGAAAGATGGCCCATCCCCTCGCCTGCAATTAACTGCCTGTAAAAACCAGCTGGAGGGTCAGTATGAGTCAGTTCCCACTTAGAGGCATGCAACAACAACATGGAAAAATTGAGTTGTAAGTCACTCACCTCTAAACTAGCATGTAAGGAGCAAACCAACAAAATGGGAGGATTAGAAATTCGGAATCCACTGGCCCCGGGGATTAACTGGAGTTCTGAAAAGTTAATATCATTATTAACTCTAAATATATGACAAAGCAAAAGAATGAGACTTAATTTTTATTATAAATTCTATTTCTAGAATTCCTGAGATATTGATGAGAAATTTCATCAAGTCAAATCACTGACTTTCACCCTCACCTGTGGTATCTATCTCTGACTCAACTTTTTTAGCAGCACGACGAAAACCAAAGCCTTTAACTTACGAAATAGAATTACTTCTTCTAGATCTGTCCCTTTATTAAAAATCCACTTCTTTGTTCAGCGAAGAGCAAGCATGCTTCATTTTCCCCATTCAGAAATCACATAAATAAGAGAGCATCATGCTTTAAATGGTTTAAGTGGGAGTTCTTATTTGTGCTGTCATCTAATGTATAAAAGTGAGTTTAAGTTTCAAGTTATCAGGCCAAACGGCATCTTTCTGGGGGAAAAAAGTCGCAAAGTAACAACAAAACTGGGTCACTCAACACACATAAGTGAGGTTTAACTAAGCTCATTCCAATTCACTAATTTGATGTTCCCAATACTTATGATGTTGTTGTTAGGCATTGTTGAGTAAGACTAATAAAGACTCTATGAGCAAGAGATCTGAACTCTATCCTAACCCGTGCCATGCTCATCTTCCTGAAACATTTGAGCTCATTGCGGTAGTCACTATATCAATCCATCTTATTGGGGGTCCTCTCTTTCTCTGACCCTCCAACTTTACAAGAATGATGTTCCTTCACAAGGAATAGCCTCTACTATCAACATGTTCAAAGTATGTGAGGTGAAGCTTCACCATCCTTGCCTCTAAGGAGCATCTTTTGAACTTTCTCCAAGATACACCTGTTCTTCTGCCAGTCTATTACATATTCAGACTCTTCTCCAACAACCAACTAAAAAACATAAATTGTTCTTCTGTAATCTTTAATTGTTCAGCTCTCTGATGCCTAGAAGATAATTAGAAAGACCATGATTTCAATCAGGCACATCTTAATTTTAAATTGACATCATTGCTCTTCAGGAGTTTAGAAAGATCCCTAAGAGCAGACTTAGTCAATGACTGCTAGTGTCAAGGTTTTCGACTGTGGATTCAAATAAAATAAAATCATTAATAATTTCAATCTTTTCTCCATTTGTCATGGCATTGCCTATTGGCCCAGTGAAGAGGATTTTTATTTTCTTGATATTGAGATGTAATCCACATTGAAGGTTGTATTCTTTGATCTGTAGCAAGCACCTCAAGTCCTCCTCATTTTCATCAAATAAGGTTGTGTCATCTGCACAACTCAGATTGTTAGTGAATCTTTCTCTAATCCTGATGACACATTCTTCTTCATAAAACCCAGCTTCTTGAATGATTTAAGGATATAGCCCTGATACATGTCTCTCTTTATTTGAAACCATGTAGTGTTCCCTTGCCCTGTTCTGACAATAGCTTCTTGTTCTATGTATAGATTTTGTATGTTGTTGTTGTTAGATGCTGTCAAGTTGAGTACAACTCTTAGCTACTTTATTCACAGCTGACCCGAACCCTGCCTTGTCCTGTGCCAGCAGCCTTATATCTGTTACACTAGACCCCACTGTTGAAGTCACTGTGTCAGTCCATCTCATTGGGAGTTTTCTTCTCCTTCACTGACCCACTGTATTTCCAAGTATGATGTCCCTTTCCAAGGCATAGCCTTGTCCAGCTACGTGTTGAAGGTAGCTTCACTGTCTTTGCCTCCGAGGAGCACTCTGGTTGCACTTTTTCCAAGGCATATTTGTTTGTTCTTTCGGCACTCAATGGGATATTCAGCACTGTTCTCCAATACTACAGCTCAAAGACATCAATTTTTTTCTGTCATCTTTAGTTATTATCCAGTTCTCTGATGCATAGCAAGTAATTGAGAAGACCATAGCCTGATTCAGCTACACTTTATTCTTTAAGCTCACATCATTGCTCCTCAGCATTTTGGAAAAGCCCCTAATGTAGGCTTTCCCAGTACAACAATACATCTCCGTATTTCTTGATTGCTGGTACCAAAGGTGTTGATTGTTGATACAATCAAAATTAAATCACTGACAGCTTTAATCCTTTCTCCATCTATTATAATGTTGATTATTGGTCATGTAGTGAATAGTGAGGCCTTTTGTTTAAGCATAATTCATTTTTCTTCTTTATTTGAGTCCTTGTTCATTATGACCCACACAGTCAAATGCCTTTGCACAGTCAGCAAACACAGATAGTTATTCTTCTGATACTCTCTGCATTCAGTTGGGATCCATCTGACATCAACAATGATCTCTTTGGTTCTAGGGCCTCTTCTAAAGCCAACTTGAACTTTGCCGAAAATAATAATCATATATAAAGAGACTTAACTTCCTATGGAACTTGGAATTTAAATATACTATTAGTAAATTCTCCACAATCACTTGTTATGAACCAGAGAGTTGGACAATGACCAAGGAGGATAGAAGGAGAATTGATGCCTTTGAGCTGTGGTGCTGGAGAATAGTATTGAGAATACCATGGACTGCTAGGAAAACAAACAGATTCGTCCTGGAAAGGGTTAAGCCGGGTGGCTCCTTGGAGGCAAGGATTCTGAGGCTCCGTCTAACATACTTTGGACATGCTGTGAGGAGAGACTGGTCCTTGGAGAAGGACATCATGCTTGGAAGGGTGGAGGGACAGCGCATGGGATAATCGGGATGGGAGTGTCAGAGACAGTGCGATTGGCACAGGACAGAGCAGAGTTTAGAGTTGTTGTACATAGGGTCGCTATGAGTCGCAGGCGACTCAACAACACATAACAACAACATTAGTAAATTAAACACATCAGGTAAGAATGGACATCCAAAGACCAAGTTAAAATTAAGACTGACTAAAAAATTGGTAAACTCATTTCGGTCTTTAGAGTTATCAAATTCACTCAAACTATAATTTGCTGACCAAATTCAGCTCATCACCTGTTTTGAAAAGTTTTCTTCAAGTAGTTCCACTATTTCATTTCTTTATTCCTATGGAGTGCTAGTGGGAGTTGTGTTGCTAACTTAAAAATTGTCCCTTTTAGGTGATTCAGATTCACCAGCAGCTCCACAGGGAAAAATGATAGGCAGTCTCCTCCTATGTGATTTACAGGCTGTGAAATCCCAATGCAGGGCCAGCTCTCAGTTTGTTTCAACTCCACCACAATGACTTTACATGAGTTAGTATTTTAATGTCAGGGTTTAGAATTTGCCATAGATACTATATAACTAGAATAAATAAAGTATCTCCTATATTGTTGTATGTTTTTTTAAATTCTTTCACAGAAAATTTACTTATCATTGATCTATTTTAGTGCCTTTATTCACTCATGTGAGAGTGCATCTCAAATTTGCTAAGTAACACATAATTTCAGCAATCAAGATAAAAAAATGGTGCCCTGACTTGACTAAAATATTTCTACTTGATTTTTTAGTATTTTGACCCTATCGAAATATGTTAAAATGAGTATCTGAGGGTGAAAAGAAATATGAAGGATCAAGCTGATCTCAGAAACTATTATGATGCTTCTTTATCCCAAAGGAGTAAAGAGTCATCCAGGAAAAGAAGTGGGGTAACCTGTGAGCTCTGCACACAGTATTCTCTCATGTATATCTATTGGGGTTTAACTGTTTATTAGGATTATTAAACTTACTGGCATATGCCAAGAGGGAAAAAGAAACATTTCTTAAAGTACTATATGCTATATATAGAGGGAGCTCTGGTGCCTTAATGGTAAGGAGCTGCACTGCCAACCCAAAGAAACACAGTTCAAAACCACAAGATGCTTTGTTGGAGAAAGATAGGCTATCTCTTCCCATGCCATTTACTGCCTCAGAAAACCTGCCAAAGGGTCAGCTATGACTTTGTTTGGACTTGACAGTGTTGTTGTTAAGTGCCGTTGAGTCATAGGCGACTCATAGCAACCCTACGAACAAAAGTCCTCGACACTTGTGTGACTTTCATTCTTTCTCCAGGTTCATAGGTTTCCAGAGGCAAGCTATTAAGGAAGTGGATGCAACTCCTGTTTCCAAGCTTGTTTTAATCGGGGAGTTCCACCAAACACTGTCTGCCATGGGTAACCATTATCACATTAGACACATCAGTGTCACAGTGTTCAGCTTCACAACGACCACAAGCTACCTCTGTACAACAAGTGGACACACCAGGGCTATACAACCTAGAAGAATGTTTGACCTGGCAGTACACAACAATAACGTATGCTATGTAAGGATTCCTGGTGATGTAATGATTAAACAATGGATTATTGCCTCTGTACAAATTTACAGCCAAAAAACCCCTATAGGACAGATCTATTCTGTCCTGTAGTATCACTGTGAGTCAGAATCAACTTGAAGGCCATGGGTCATTTCCAAAATGGTTTAAATTCTGAGCTTCTTTTATTCTCAAAAACCCATGAGATAGGTATTATTCACATTTATTCAAATGATATAGTTTATGCACATACACAAAATTATCACACAGAAAGCTGGAACTTGTCCTTACTCCTCAAGGTCTAAGTCCAGGCCCCAAATCCCCTCCTGTCCCTGTGTCCAGTGTTTTGTACACTCCATGTTAATGAGAGCTGAGGAATCCACATGCCTGTCAGATTCCACACCCCCTTATCTTTCTACAAAGGGACAGAATCACAATCATGTAAAATCTAGAAACACTTAGTCTTACACTCTGAAAATGTCATTTTTTATTTTAAGAATTCTCAGTGACATTTTCAAAGTGCGCTTTCCATGGGGCATGTGGTATTACATACATTACAGAGAGATAAAAGTTGAAATAAAGTTAAAATAAAATTACTTGTAAGTAAATTGAATATACTTACTGTTATCCATTTTAAATCTGGTGTTGAGTTCATGGCCAAA